AGACCAGACCCCAAAGTGGTCACCTAAAAATTAAAAAAAAAAAATAAAAAAAAAAAAAAAAAAAGAATAACTTAGTTATAGTAAGTTTATTAGAAATGTTATAACTTATATAATAAATTTACTATAACCAAATTAGTTCTAATTAATTAGTTAATCTGACTTATAAGTTTACTGTCCAATTTTAATTTATTTTGTTACAAACAATTTTTTGGATAACTCAAATAGCTGCAAAAATGGCATGGAAAGAACATTTAAAGGATATTGATAAGATCATAAAAAAGTTACTACAAAATAGTATTATTGATTCAATTAATAAGGTATCAGCCCTATTTAATACAATTGACCTTAGCGAAATTATAAATGTTTCAATGCTTGATAATAGTGAAGATGACATTAAAGAGTTTAGTGAAGAAACCATAAATGACAATGATATTAATGATACTGATAAAGAGTTAATAAATAAAGAATCAATTTTTAAAGAATAGCCTAGAAGCAATGAAAATGAAGAGTTTAAAAAGAAGAATCTGTAAATCAAGAATTTAAAATTGATACAAGCACTCTCACTGTTGATAATATTTTTGATTGCTATCCAATAGAAAATAATAATTCAAAAATAGGCTTTAATACCTTTTCTCTTGCAATTTATTTCTACCATTATTTATTTGAACTTTTCAGTCAGATATTAAATTTAATTAAGTCTTATAGTAGTAAGTAATATATTCAATACTAATTATAATTGAGTTAAAGTATTAACACAGCAATTCACTAGTAAATAGAATCTTAGGTTGGAATTAAAGGTTAAAATTAGAAATATTCTATTCAATCAAGAGATTAACTAAGTGGTCCCATTATATTATTTAGATTTGAATATTGCAAATATAATGAAATTAAGAATTTTTAAATTTTTGTATTTTCAAATAATTATTTAATTAAGTATTATTTGATCAAATAAAATAATTTGTTAACAAATTAGCATTATATTATAGCTCTAATACTATGTCTCAATTCTTTTACATAATTTTTGTTGGAAGAAAATTTACAACTAGTTAGTATATTATTAACTCAGTATATTATTAATAAAAATATATTGGCTTTTTATTATGTATACAAATATAACAAGAAAGTATTATTATAAATTTAAGATATTATTCTTTAATAACAACTTGGGTAGTTATTACAATTAGGTTAGCTATACAGTGCATGATGCTGCACAGTGCATAATAGTGTTGACACTTTAAATGACCAATAACCAAATAACCAAATGAATTGGACATTGGTTATTTGGTCATTTCATTTTTAAATAATCAAATAACCAAATACAAATATTATAATATAGGATCTTGCTAAAAAACACCCTTTGACATTTTTGCTTAGAATATTATAAACCAACATACCAGTTCTTATTTACATGTAAATCATAATTTGCTCTTATTGATTCAATAGCTTATCAAATAAACATTTGAATCAATAAAGGCAAAAATAATTTATATGCAAGTAAATACTGGTAATATAGGTTTAAATTTTCTGAATTTGCCTAATCAAAAAATGTTGAAAGATAATTTTCTTAGCAAGATCTCATATTATAAAAAAAATATATTAAAATTTATAAATTCTAATCACTAATAAATTTCTTAATTAATTTTAGATTAATTTAATTTCAAGACTTTATTAATACTACAAAATAAAATACTTTATCTGGCAAACTTATTTATGTTGTCTTGTTATTTTTTTACATATTACTATATAAATATGTTTATTTATATTAAACTCAGCTGATGACTCTTACCAATTATGATCATAAATTGTCAGATAATTTATTTCAACTAGTGCTTTTGACT